TTACCTCTGCTCATACGTTCGTCGCGATGGGCCGTTTGAAACCTGGACCCCCCAATTCCAGACGTTCGTCTCTTCCCAAGGGTCATGGGCCTGCGCCCAGCCTGGTCCTAGCATGACGTGCGTCCGATAGAAAAAAAGGGGTTAATGGGCCGGACCTCGGCCTGGGCCATTATCCCAACACGCTTAGTGCATCTCACAGCTCTCCTTTCTTTGTCAATCGGTTCAAATCGGCTCTATTCTTCTACTCTTGTGTCTTTGATATGTTTGACGCTATTTTCCCACCCCATGACAGTCAAAGGTTGCACTTCGAACATGCGGTTATGCGGCCCGTCATAACAAATATCATAGCATGCGAGGGCATGGAAAGATTTGAGAGACCTGAAACATACAAGCAGTGGCAGTGTCGCTTTATAAGGGCCGGGTTCAAGCCTCTTCCTCCGAACCCTAATATTGTGGAGAAATTGAGAGCTAAGGCAAGGGAAGCAGGTCACAAAGACTTTCTGTTTGCTGAAGATGGTCATTGGGTGCTGCAAGGGTGGAAAGGCCGGGTTCTTGCTTGTAGCTTTGCCTGGGTAAGTCACAACCACTGATTGATTGTATCATGCGTAACGTAAGCGAACTTTGCATTTCATGAAACGGTACACCTAATTAAGAGCATAGAAACTTCCCGGACGCCACGTCTTTCCATTTCGGAAGTTTTAAATTCTCATTTCCGGATCAATTCTTAATTAATTAGCAATTTGGTTTTTCATGAGTTTTTATGGGATTTCTGGATGTAAATTAGGATTTAACGGTCTTTTATATAATTCTTCATATAGCTACAAGGTCTTTGTGATCATTGGTAATGTATGATTGGAATGTATTGCATTTTAAATTTACTACTATTATACCCGTGTGATGCATGTGGCAACATATTCTTATATTTTTGTCTATGTTGTTTTACAAATTAAAATGCTACGAGAAGATATATTTACTTCAAAGACAATTGACATGAATGTATGCTATAATAAAAAATGAGCAAGAACTACACATTTTGAAAAACACATGGATGTAAAACATTTAGAGAGTTTCCTTAAATATTACTTGATGGATAAAATTATCAACATCTTACCGGTCTCTTCCTAAGCTTCTTTAGTGGCTGGCCGAGCCCAGACCTTGACTCGGTATCTTAGAGAAGATCGAACTCAGCGTTCGGTCGAATAGCTTCAACGATCATCATGGAGGAGTCATTATGCGTGAATATTTTCTGTATTTATCGACTATAACCCCTCACTTATATGAGGGGCGTCCCACCATCATTTGGAGGGGGGCTTCCATTGCATACAAACCACTATAGGAACTATTCGATTATATGTAGGATAAATATTAAATTTTAGAAAAGGGAAATTGCATTAGTACTTCATATTTATGAAATTTAAAATTGTGAAATTTAAATGGTGCCATAATAACACAATATTATTGGAGAAAAAAGAACCATTATATTAACCAACAAAGTGTCAATCATTGAATTATTTTAAAGGAAATAACACTGATCTTATACCACCTATTTAGGTCCACTAGTCCATATACTCCGTAGTATACAGGCCACCACAATTAGTAAAATCAGCTTAGGCTTTGAAGAAATAGAACACCTATATATATATATATATATATATATATATATATATATATATATATATATATATATATATATAGGAAAAACTTCCGGTAAGGTATACCTTACCGGAGCCGCCGTGCGGCCTCCACGTTTTGAGGTCCTTCCCGGTGGAATTTTTCGATGAAATTTTTTGAGCATGTTCTTCATCAAATGTATTACATCCATACCAAATTTCAGCAAAAAATGCAATCGGGAAGGCAGTCAAACGATTTTTGGAAAATAACTGCGTTTTATATGTATATAAAGGTAGCAGTTATCTTCCAAAAATCATTTGACTGCCTTCCCGATTGAATTTTTTGCTGAAATTTGGTATGGATGTACTAGACTTGATGAAGAACATGCTCAAAAAATTTCATCGAAAAATTCCACCAGGAAGACCCTCAAAACGTGGAGGCCGCACGGCGGCTCCGGTAAGGTATACCTTACCGGAAGAGTTCCCTATATATATATATATATATATATATATATATATATATATATATATATATATATATATATCAGTAAAGAGGACAATTCATGTTGTGTTAGCCTGATCAGAATTGCCGTTAGGCCGAGACCATTTGGGACCCTTTCCGATGAATTTTCTTGATGAAATATTTTGAACATGTTTTTCATCAAATGTAGATTATCTCCATAAAATTTCAACTTAAAATTCAATCGGAAAGTCGGTTAAATAAAATATTGAAACATACTGCACTTTTTGTATATAATAATGTGCATTACGTTTCAATAATACACCACAAAGATCAGACATCTATCAGACCAGATTTAAAAAGACCAAACCATACCAAATCATACCAAAAAAATTCAATCAAAGTAAAAAACATATTTAGCGAGATGGGGGAGTACTTATATTTAATACAAAGACTTGAGTGATGAATTGAAAATAGTAAAAGAGTTTATTTGATTCTTTTCTCCAATAACAACAAATTTATCTTTCAATATATTGTCTTCATGGTGGTTCAAATATGTTTACAATTATCCGGGTTTTATGTTGAGTCATCTCTTCAAATCCAACAATCCGTATTGGAAAATGCAAAGTATCTATTTATGAGTTTTTTACAAGAATATTACTAAAATAAAACTTATTTACATAAATATGACTATTAATTACTATAACGTAGTGTTGTGGTAACTTAAGTTCAAAACTTGAACATGAATTACTATGATTTCGTTACTACTTTAGTAATTAGTCATACTTTTATAAACCATCTTTATTTTGATCATATTTATGTAATTATTTCTCTATTTATTTGAGATTGGAGTAGAATAACACTTATATGCACATGTCAAGTATGTTGTGGTCTGATGACATCACTGCTGATCTCCCAAAGAAAGAGGAGTTGAGGTCGCAGGTTCGAGTCTCATCCCAATCAAGAATGTTGAGGTTCGAGTCTCATCCCAATCAAGGATGTTGAGATTAACAATAGTAGATACTATAATAGGTTTAGAAGAATGTTCCACAAAAACTTATATGCACATATGACATCTATAGTTAAGCTTCATTTTCTAAAGTATATATTTTATTTACCTTAATATTTTTTAATCTTTGCAAAAAAATCATCATATCTTCTTTTTAGCTAATATTACCTCTGCTCTTTTTTAATTAAAAGAGTTTAGCTTACATTTGTCAATGCACAACTTTGATTATAATTATACGGAGTATTTAATATCATATAAGTAAACATTATAAAAAATTAATATTTTAGAAATTCATATTACAAATTTCATAATACTTTATAAATAATTTGAATGAATGAAAAAGATAAAAAAGTGACTTGTTTTAAATTTTTCCAAAAATGTGACTAAAAGTCATTTATTCCTTATATTTATTTTTTAAAATTCCTTTTATACATTTGTAGCCACCAGCACCTCCGAACCGCCGACCCCAGCACCACCATTGTCGCTGTCGGCAGTCACTATCTCAGTGACTCCGGCCAAAGTGACTTCGGCCAAAGTGACTCCGCCGCCACAGTGACTCGCCCCGCCACAGTGACTCCGACCAAAGTGACTTCGGCTACAGTGACTGTCCGACTACCTGCCACAGTGACTACCCACCCACAGGCCACAGTGACTCCAGGGAGTCACTGTGACTGCCGGTCCACCGGCCATAGTTACTCAAATTACTCCGCCCACCGCCCTCCGATCAGTTACCACACCACCACGCCACTGCCGCATTCCACCATCATGCTACCGCCACCGCCTACCACCACCCACCACCGCCACCACGTGACCCCAGTGCCGCCCATTGACTGGCAGCAGCCCAAACGACAACCTCCTAACCTCACTCGATCCCCAGCAGTCCCAACAACCATTACGACGGTGGCCACCGCCTCCCCTTGCCCACCAGGCCAATCCACAGACCCCAGCCCCCTCCAGAGCGCTCCCTCATCCCCCTCTAGTACCCTCTCCCAACAGCCCCCAACCCTCTCCAGCACTCTACCCAGCCCATCCCCTTCACCAGCGGTCCATACGCCCTTCCAAGCCGTTTGTTCCCATATGAGGACCTCCAGTGAGAAATGGCCGCAGCTCTAGAAGAGAAGGCGGCACCAATCAAAAGAGACGAGCAGATCTGATGCAAAGAGAAGGCTGGAGAACATATGCCGATGTGCACCGATGCTAACAGATCCGAGATGCAGAGATGATTAGTGACCGTCGTCGTCAGATCCGAGATGCACCGATGCAGAACAGATCCGAGATGCAGAGATGATTGGTGACCGTCGTCGTCAGATCCGAGATGCACCGATGCAGAACAGATCTGAGATGCTGAGCTGATCGGTGGCTCACCTTTTTCGCTGGAGCATCTGAATCTTCGTCTGGAATAGCCACGACCGCGACCCTGGCAACCGACAGAGACGAGGCAACGCGGAGGCAGACAACGGAGGCGACACAGTGGCATCTGGTGAAGACGAGAAGCGGAGCGGCCGCCTAGGGATGTGTGTGCGGTGCGAAGAAAGAGGCAGAGAGAGTCGATGCTGCGCGAGCGAAGGAAGATGACGGGCTGGACGGGCATTTTTTATTTCGGAAACGAAGCACATCAGTCATAGTTTTGGATAAATGTCAAAGGAGTCATTTTTAGAATTCACAAGTCCAATACTAACATGCGGGTCATTTTTTCTTATATATATTAGTAGAAAATCATAGTTAAAGTAACATGAATAGTGTGAAAATTGTAATTATTAAAGAACTGAAGAAATATCTAATATTCAAATATTCAAATTCTTCCAAAAGCATGACAACAAGATGGTTAAACAGGAATTGTTAGTGTGAATGCAAAATGTCTGCAAATAAAAATGAGGTTTCAGTGTTTCACATGAATCTCTTAACATCTTAAACAGTAAAAGAAATATCATACATCATTATCCCGCTAAAATATGTTCACACCAAAAACAACGAATTGTATGTTCCCTAAAAGATTTTTTATTGAACCAAAAAAAGAAGTAAATTATTACACCAATCATTTATAATATCATTGTGGTCTTCATTGACATTCCTACAGAAGTGGCGCACAATAAAAAACATATATTGTAATCATTTCATTTGATGCAAATGACCTTGTTTGGTCAATTGTAAAAAAATAAAAGATATTTCTGTTGAAGATATCTATCTTGAGAAACACTCTATTCACCACTTCCATTTGAACACGTTACAGTACTGTTAAAAATTATTCTTCCCGTGCAAACTACAAAGCATCACTAATTACTTACTTTGATGTACTTCACATTTCGACTTTTGCACTTTTTGAAATCTGACAAATAGATCACCTGGAAGGAAAAATGTTATTGAAAGAGAAGCAAAAGTAGTAAAAAAACAGTACTGTTCTACAAAATTTCATTATTACTGTTTACTTTCAGGCAGCCAAGCACAAAAAATTTAAAAAATTCAGCCTTCTTATCAGTTAAATTGTTTATTAATCACTACTTTTTCAACCAAGCACCCTATTATATAACTGAACAAATTAGAGTTGCATTTTTTAATGAAGTTGCTGAAGATGACCATTTTAACTTTTCCATATAATTCTTCCACTATTTATTCTATAAATATAGTTTAATACTTCAGCAATTTCAGTGCCTTCCCAAACAGCCTCTCAAATTTTAAGGAATACCAGAGTATCATAGCTCTTGTCTATGCACGTTTCAAAACATTGTGCCCTACCTAATTGAGTTTCTGAATTCCGGATTGCAAGGCTTTCAGTTTGGTCTCGATTTTTGCAAGTTCATCTGCTGTGGACAAAAACTTGTCCAGTTTATGCTGTGCAGCTTCTTGATAAGGCTTGCCAATGACTTTAACCAACTCCTCCAAATACAAAGTTGTCTCCAACAGATCTTTCCGCATTGCTTCTTCAATTTCACGTGCTAAGCCATCAGCAGCTCTCTTCACTTTATCCACAGCCTGTTGCTTACGAGCTGGAAACTTGTAAAGTGCAAGTAGGCTGTTACATAGACATACAACTACGATTAGGACTATATTAAAAGAGAATTTGAAGAAATTGGTGATTTAATTAAGGCGGATAACAAGGAGAAAGAGCTAACCCTCCTGCAGAACAAAGGGCAAGAGCAAGAAGATCTTCTAATGTTGTCGGTAGAATAGATGTCAAAAGGGATGCTGAAAGACCAGCTGCTCCAAGTCCACCAAAAGTTCCCAAGAACTGAAGAACAAATGTGAGTTTTCAATGCACTACAGCACAATCGAGGTGAATGTGAGTTTTCAATACTTAAACTTCTCCTTAGAAAGTATGGCCAAGTGAGAAGAGCATTTAGGTCGTTTTTGGATCCAGGAAACGCTAGGGAAAGGGGAAAAATAATAAAGAAAGTTGTTTTCTGACATTTGGATGTACCGTTGTACACTTGTACAGTTGTACCCATAAAAGCATACATAAATGAAAATTTTCCTCCGTCCTTTTATTAACTTCGGATTATTTAGAAAGTGGGAACTGTGTAGTACAAAGTTGTTCATGAGGAGAGGAATAACATGAACCACAAGGTCTTTGTTATAAAAGAAAAATGAATACGAAATTCATTATTCTAACCTAGGTTTAGGCTTTTTAGCCTGTATATAATAGAAATAAATACTCCATATATAAAATGAGTTTGAACAAGAATCACAGATTATTACTATATTGAGTTTGAACCAATGTTTTAACCCCCTTCCCACACATTTTCTTTAATTCCAAAATTTCCATATTACTTCTTATTTTCTTTCCTAGCAGCTTCCGTATTCCGAACAGACCACTAACCACGCAACAAAGAAACAAAAAATGATCATGTACCGCTTCACGTATTTCTTGCTCAAACAACTTTGAAGCAGCTGTTGGACTAAATGTCCCCATCACATGCGAGCTTAGTACGTATTTCCTCCCGGATATTGTACAGCTACCAGCCTTAATGTGCTTCTCCCCATCAATGAATGAGTGATATCTCTTATCAAAATAGTCTCTGTAAAATTGTACTTCATGGTCTGCATTTGACTTTAACCACGCCTTATATTCTGCCAGTAGCTTCTGAAATGTGGATGTTTAAAAAAAGATTGAACAAATTAATGATGTAAACTACCCTAATAGAAGACATCCCTACAGCACAGAGAAACAGGACATGCAAGATTTTTGAATGTTTTCACTGAAGCTGGCTGACCTTTAAAGAACTGCCCAATTCTTGGTTCATATGAGAAAAAATAAAACAAGGGCATCTGGCCAGATTCCATTTATGGTATTTCTTTCAATTCCATTTGACTCATAAGTTCATAAACCACCCCAGGACAGCAGGACACCCAAGGTATTCAAACTCGAGATCCTACATAGGATCGTGAGGGGGTTTGAAGATCGTAAATCGTAGGATCGTGAGTCGAATCTTAAGATCCTACTATATATATACTACCTCCGTCCCTAAATGTTCTTCCAATGTAAAGTGGCACGCGGATTAAGAAAGTGGGAATTGTGTGGTGGAGAGTTGTGCAGAGGAGAGAGAAATGTTGTGAACCACAAATTCTTTGCCGAAAAGGGAAAGTGAAGTTCTTTTTGGGACGGACGAAAAGGGAAAATTGGAAGTAAATTTAGGGACGGAGGGAGCATATACATACATATATATAAGTTATAATCAGACATGAATTTATTTCATACTACATATATAATAATGTACGATATCGTTATAGTAAGGTATTGAATATAATTCATCAATAATAATCATACAAAGATATTTACAATATAATACCCAATACTTTAGATATTATACAAAATAGTTATAAAAAATAATAATATTAATAATAATAAGACTAACAACTGACAGTATATTAAAGTTGTATTTTATTAATATTAATAATAATAATAAGGCTAAAGGGTCAAATTGGCCCCTGTACCTGTTCGGAATGCTCAATTCGCACCCTGAACTCAAAAAAAACTCCCTGAACTCAACAAAAAAGTTCAAATCCCACTTTTTGCAGGTTAATTTCCGGTCATCGCCACGTCAGCCGGTTAGATGCCAACCGTGCATCCCACGTGGAAATCTAAGGGGTCAAATAGACCCCTGAACCCGACAAAGTTGTTCAATTTACCCCCTCAATTGTTAAAAAGTGTCGAAATTGCCATTAAAAAATAAAAAATTAAAAATAGAAAATAAAAATACAAATAATATACAAGTTCATAATATAAAATATATAAGTCTATTTATAATATGACAATAAATTTTTTATGTTTCAGCTAAATTATATATATATATATAGGAAAAATAGTACACAAAATACAAAATTTAATATTAATTTGTAAAAAAATGTATGGTTGATTTTTTAAAATGGATTTAAAATATCGAAATATTTTTAATGAATTTGTTTTGTTTTGTTTTATGTGAATTTACCGCAAAAAATAAAGATATATTTATATTTACAGTAAATTCATATAAAATAAACTAAAAGAAATTCATTAAAACTTTTTTTATATTTTTAATATGTTTTAGATTTATATGTAAAATTACACACACACACACATGGCACATGCATATATGTATATATATTTCGTATTATTCTATTCTAGAATTATATACTACGTACTATACTTCATACTAATTATATGCAACATAAAAAATTTATACTATAAAAAATTATAATATGTAAATAGCTACGGACTACTACATTTTGATATTATGTATTTAAAAATAAGTACCTTCATTATGTTTATATATATTTAATTTACCCTAAAATATAAAAATCGTCTTATTATATTATAAATAGACATCTATATTTTATATTATGAACCTGTATATCATTTTATATTTTATTTTCTATTTTTTAAGTTCATACTTTTTAATAGCAATTTGGACACTTTTTAACGGTCAAGGGAGTAAATTGAACAACTTTGTCGGGTTCAGGGGTCTATTTGACCCCTTGGGATGCACGGTTGGCATCTAACCGGCTGACGTGGCGATGACCGTAAATTAACCTGCAAAAAGTGAGATTTGAACTTTTTTGTTGAGTTCAAGGGGTGAATTGGAGCTTTTTTGAGTTCAGAGTGCGAATTGAGCATTCCGAACAGGTACAGGGGCCTATTTGTCCCTTTAGCCTAATAATAATAATAATAATAAATAACAGCAACAAGACTAACAGCTGACTGGAAATTAAAGTTATTTTATTAAAAATATAGTACTGAGTAATAAAGTAAATACCTATTGGTGTAATAATACTCTGTATAACATAATATAATATGATGTAATAATAGTATAATTATACTATCCTCCGTCTCTAAATAGATGCAACATAGGGTGTGGGCACAAGAATTAAGAAACATCAATAAAGTGATTTTCTTCCCACTATACCCTTTGGTTCCACGCACAAATGAATAATAGGGGCAGACATGTTACTGTACATCAACAGTACAATTGTTTTTGTTTTTCAGATTACTCATCCTACCACCGATTACAAATGTTATACCAGATTTGTTTTTGTACTCATCGGAATTCATAGACAGAAGGCAATCAAGTTCTACGGACAAAAAACTTCCCGGAAAGATGTTCTTGACTTCTTTCTTAATGACATGCTTCTCCTTCCTTGAATTCGATCGACTCTCGGAGAATTCGTTCTCATCTTCAGCCCTACCGGCGAGTTACCTGAAATTCTATGAACAGGGCTGCCGCAGCACACCTTCTTCTTTACCTTCTTCTCATCAGAATTCCTCCAAATTTGCACGGTTGGTTTGGTCCACCTTTAATCCTCGCAGATTCATCTGAATGGTTGACGATGGGCTTTGTAATGATGGGAGGGATCTCAATTTACTGAATTTAGGGCCTTTTCGAACCGGTCATGACAGTCGTAGTAGTGGAGCACCCCGGCGAGATTTTACTCCATACAAACTACGGAGGTCTCTTTAGATTAGAAATAAAGAGGAGAGAGGGATGTCAGATCAATTAGGGGCATTAAAGACATTGCATTTGTTTTTGTTTACCAAAAGTGGAAGTGTTGCAATTAATTTGAAACTGCCAAAAAAAGAAAGTGTTGCAATTATTTAGAGACGGAGGAAGTAATAAAATATAAACAATGAGTGTGTAATACTATTGGCCTGGAGATCGATTCAAGATGACAAGGTGACACAGAGAGATGAGGTCTTTTTGCCGACAACTGAGATCAAGATAACAAGTTCATCGCAGAAGGATGGGGTTGTTTTTGCGACGATTCAATCCTTTATTAGACCTTTCAGTCTTTTTTGCATAATCCCGAAGCCTTTAAAAATTTCCGACAACTATTCATTGTTTACTCGCGATTCAGCTACGTTTCCGCGAGCTTACGGTTCTGCACTGGCAATCTCATCGATTCCACTATTTTACGATCTTTAGTAAAACCGAGATCGCAGGGAGCAGTAGAGATCGTATAATCGTACGATCCTACGTGCAAGATCGCGATTTTGACTACCATGAGGACACCTTAGCCCGACCACACACCCAATAGTAATAAAACAATAAAAGACATCAATTGTTTCAGGTACAGAATTCAAAGTAGAGCAGCAACTGTTACACTAGATTAAACAACAGACCAAGTATACTTAAAGAGTATTAATCACCTCCGCTTGAAGAGCTGCTGGACTAATAATGTCATTCTTGACAGTTACTGTGACTGGCATTTGAGCTGTTTTTCCTCCTTTAAATACATATCCAGTGACTAGATCAAGATTTGAAAGACGTAGAGTTGAACCTACAAGCTGTACAATACGTGTCTGTGTGCTGTCAACCTGGATTTTCACAAGGCAGAAAATCACTGACAAGAAAAAGCGATGTCCAGAAAAAGAAAAAAGGAATGGTACGGCATAAGCCATCAATCTCGAAAGGGGGCCATACCACGGAAAGAATTTGCTTCTTCCAGGAGATGCTTTCGAGTTCCATCTTCTTTGTCCAGTCTTTTACACCGTTGATAAGATCATTCACAGACACTAAATCAATTTTAGCTATCTCACACTCTTTACTGACTAAAGTTTGGCAGGAAGAAAGCAGTTGCTCTGCAATTACAACTGGTGTCTCAAGCTTAAGTCTCATACGTTGAATTCCTGTGCTTGTTGAGGCATCCAAAGAGTTATACAAGTATCTCTCGAGCTCAAAGAAACTTGCAGATTTCAAGAAAGAATCTCCCAAGGATTGGCCATTAATGTCTTTCAGAATGACTGAAGGAGCGGAAAGCTTTGTTTCAAGCGCACACCGTGAAGATACAGGGTATAAGGTCACATTTTCAGTACTCAACAACTTTTTCGCATTTTCTTTTATGAAAGCAACAGCTTCATCTTGCTGCAAATATAAATAAAGTATAGCAACGTTTAGCTTGATTTCAGCAATTCATTCGTAAAATATGAGCAGCCTCTGACCAAATATCATCAAGGCAAAAAGAACACTTACTAACCTCATGCATATTCAAGTAAATGTCAGATTTGTTCAGCACAAAGATGACCTGTTTTTTCCACTGCTGAGTGTAATGAAGAAAATTGACCTGTTTAATACCATACATGCATAAGTTCATAGCGCTAACCAATGGTTAAAAAATAGAACAAATACAAGAAGCCCCTCAAAACAACTAGAGTTCACAGCGCTTGAGAAATACTGCCAGTTGTTTACTAAACTCAGTCAACAAACTTACTCATGCAAAACCCTATAAATACAAGGGCTTGACATAGACTGTGCAGTAATACTGCTAATAGCATCCACTAAATCATACCTCACTTTCAGTCAATGGTCGATCAGCAGACATAACAAAGAGAAGCAAATCTGAGCGAGGGACGAATTCCTCAGTCAGTCTTTGTTGACGTTGAAGTATCACGTTGGTTCCAGGAGTATCAACTATGATCATCTACACAACACAAATAGAGAAGATTGTGACACATAAAACAAATAAATGAAAAAATCATTGTTGGGCATTGTCCCACTAGAAGGTTACTCATAGATGTATTGAAACTTAAATACAAAAAATTGCAGGTGCCTTATAATATTTTGTTGCACACAAGGCATTATTTTTAATATTTGAAAAGCATACAAAACAATATAATGTGACCAAGAGAGGAAGAATTTTATAGTAAGTGAATGCGGAATAAGAACGAGGATTATTAGCTAAATATATCCCCAACTAGCATCAAATTCACAAATCTCTCATGCTTTCACTTTTATTAAAAAAAAGATTCAAATTTCAACTTTTCTTACAATTACACTTTCAATGGATGAATTAGTAAAAGAAGAAAATCATATTTGTATTTCATATTTTTTTCACTTCTTTCTAGTTTTAAGTTTACAAACTTGTATTGCTTATATCTTATTGGTATTGATAAAAATGTGTAATTTGGAAAAAACAAAAAAGAAAAGCATAATTGTTGAAAAAGATGTAGTTTGAGTCTTTTTTTAATAAAAGTCAAAGAATAGGATAGATTTGTGAATTTGATGATAGTTTGAGATAAATTAAGCTAATAATCCTAAGAACAATTATAACTAAATTGGCGGGAAAATATGATACAATATCAAGTAACAATACAAGCATGTAAGGGAGTGATTTGCAGGAAAAAAGCTATCAGATGTAGGACATAAGGTTGATGGTTGGGACCAAGTTCATATAATAGAGTTGTATATGGTATATACCATTATCCATTTGTAAAGAATTGATCATATTCCACATGAAAGAATGGCAGTGTGGCCGAGATATTCAATTTGAAAGAACAATACTCCCTCCGTCCTCTTTTTAATGTCCCATTTTATTATATTGGGTTGTCCCTATTTAATTGTCTTATACCTTATTTGATAAAGTTTGTGTGGCTCAAAATCATTATTACTTTATTCTTACTTTATCAATTAATATCAACCACACAAACCCAATTTTCTTAAAACTCGTGTCACCCTCTTCCGTCCCAATATAAAAGGGACGGAGGTAGTATATCTTATGCGCATAGACTTCATTGAAGATAACTACAATAATGCTTTAAATCTTCAAGCAACTTACTTCTTTTAGAATAGGAGCGGGTAGATAGCATACACATTGACCATTTGGATTCCTTTCACAATGTTGTGGCTTATCAAACTCTGAATAGCGTAAAAAGGTTATCTCATTGGTTGTAGGAACGACACCATCTTTCAGGTACCTTTCTCCAAGAAGAGCATTGATAAAAGTTGATTTCCCAGAGTTGAACTCTCCCTGTAGTTAGTTAGTAACATAAATGAATCTTCACTTTTCTTAAATGTACTTTTTCCTTGATAGGAGTGTGGGATGGGATGAGACGACTACACATAAGGAAACAATTCCATTGCTTGTTAGAAGGTGTAAATCCGGGATTGGCTGCTTAGGTTAGCATGGGATCCCGATCTAAGTGAATACCCGAGTACCCGACCTACGCACCTACCCGCACCCCTCCATGGTTGTGGCATGCATGCAATCCAATGCAACACAACAAGGAACAAATTTGCCTCCAACGCATAAGCTAATGAATAAATATTAAAGTTGAAGAGCATGCAATGCCACAGTTGGAAAGTATGCTCACCGAATCTTCTTCTTCAACCATTGAAATTGAATCCCTTAGGGGGTTTAGATGCACATGTTGTGTTATATAATCCGATTAGTATAGATCACAATCCATTTTTTGGCCAGTAAAATATTCCACTCCAGCAAATACCGGATATATCATCCCAATACCCCCACCCTGTCCAAGAAAATAATGGCCTATAATTACTAGCTCAATTGAAAAAGCGTTGTGAAAAAAAATCCATTCTAAATATGCCAGTAAAAATGTGAAAAAAATCGAACAGTAAAGTCTAGCCATTTGAAATTAAGGTATAATACCCATGCATGTCCCTGGAACCAGAATTTGTTGAATTTCAGCACACAATTACCACTATAACCAGTAAAAATGGATCATCAAGTTGAGAGACAGCCTCCTCGAGGAGTGAGACCTCTTCCATCTGATAGTTCAAAACTTGTTCAGATTAGCATCAACAAGATTATGAATCTATATAGCACTTGGGATGCTAAATATTAACCACAAAGTCTCACCAGTGGAGCAGCTTGTTTTATGGCACTTATTGTTTCATGCAAAATAAGCTTCTCAGTTTCAATTAGCTGCAGTTCTCTCTTACTTAACTTGGTGAAGCCAGCTACCTTCTTCTTCCCAGGAAATACATTACCAGAACCAAAGATTTGACGCCCAAAGCCTTCCTCAGTTTTCATCTCTGGTGCATGCGCACCTAAAAACAGTTTGCTAAACTCTTCATTACCTACCACTTTCAATTCGTCTATAGATATAACAAAACCACTAGCTCCTAATTGAACAAAATAGGAAACTTCATTCAGCAGCTTCCCCTCTCCATGCAAATCCATCATGACAAACACTGGAACTTTCAGTGTCTCAAACACAGAACTCATCACTTCCTCTGACCTATTATTCCCAACATTATATAAAATAAAATCGGCTCCTTCAGAATTAGATGCTTGAATTGCAGCCTCAGGTGTTTCTACAACTCTTGCCACCAAAGGGAGAACGACGGACTCGGACTTCGAATCCAACATTGTGTTCCTAGCCACAATGGTAGGGAGACCTGATTTAATGTTATTTACCAATGTCCAACTCGGTCAATTGTGATCTCGATATTACTAATTACTAATTCAATATAAATAAATTCACTGCATTGGTTTAAAAATGAACTGTGGAAGGTCAACGAATTAACCTTGATCTGAGAGCAGGACTCCACTGGCATTTACTGCGGCTGCGATATCAACTCTTTCATCGACCAACAGGTAGGCTCTTTCGCGGATGACAGACTTCAACAAGCAAGCAGCGTCGTATAACTTCCCACCTGTCACCCCTCCGCCAGTGAGGAGCACGATGCCAACTAGAGACGATACCGCCTGATCTACTTCGTCGAGAATGGTTTTGTCATCGAGGACATCTCGAGCGCTTAGCTGGAGCACGAGATTGGGAACTTTGATTTCCGGTCGCTTGAAGCCACCGGGAAACAGCGTCCGCCTCTGTTGCTTGGGTGCGTCTTCATTGTTCGGCACTAAAGAGAGCCTACTACGGGCGGCGCGTATTGGGATACTATTGGTGCAAGGAAGACGAGGCTGGAAGACGGAAGGGGAGTAGTGTGCTGTAGCCAAAGAGAAGAGGCGGTGCAATTGAGGATGAACAGAACAGTACTGATAGGGTAGAGATAACATGGATAAAGCTGCAGGAGTGATAAGCTGAGCAGCGGAAAGCACTGAGCGCGGCGGAGAGTGAGGCTGCGACGTCGACTGTGAGGGGAGGAAGGCAAACCGCCTAACATCAACCGTCTTTTCTTCGGATTCTAATCCCGTATAGCGTCGGTCAAATTGTCCCATATTTCATTTTCAACAATTCCAGAAAAACTTTGACAAACACCGTGACTAGTCTACTACTATGACAATAAAATAAAATATGTGTGGTTGATGTTTGTTTAAAAAAGAAAAATTCATTGAAACCACAAATTATTTATTTAAAATAGAAAGTAACAAAGTAAGTAAAACATCCAAAAAATGAAAATTGACAAAGTTTTAAAGAACGGATTATATATTACTTATGGAGTGGTCTTCTTGTCAGGCCGGCTTGACGGGATGCTCTGTCCGTCCGAGCCCGTTTGGGGACCTTCCCGGTGGAATTTTTTTATGAAACTTTTCGAGCATGTTTCTCATCAAGTCTAGTTTGTCCATACCAAATTTCAGCTCAAAATTCAAAAAGGAAGACATTCAAATCAATTTTTGAAGTTGACTGCGTCAAAATATACATATAAAACTGCAGTCAACTTCAAAAAATGATTTGAATGCCTTCCCGATCGAATTTTGAGCTGAAATTTGGTATGGACAAACTAGACTTGATGAGAAACATGCTCAAAAAATTTCATCAAAGAATTCCACCGGGAAGGTGCCCAAACGGACTCGTTCGGACGGAGCATCCCGTCAGGCCGGCCTGACATGAAGATTTGTCTTACTTATGTATCTTCAGACTAAAATATGACCAGTTATGTTTTTGGACAAAAATATAACTAGTTACTATGTACGAGTAACTGGACAAGAGTTACTATAGTGTATTTCGGAGTGATAAGTCATTGATAGATAATGGATGAGCCACTGAAAACTAGTCATTGAATATGTCACTTTCTTGAAAATTTTTAAAAGAAGTCATATTTTTATCTTTTTAATATGATTTAGTAATATTCATGGAAAAAGGTCATCATTCAAACCAAGTTTGAAAATTTTGGTGTTATTTTAAATCATTCTTAATATATTTTTACTTTATTAATTTAATATTATCAATCATATAAAACCATTTTTCTTAATAAACGCATCAAATACTTGTTTCCAATAATAGTGACACACATGTAGTACTTTAGCAGTTAGTAAAATAGTGTTTGGTTAAACGGCTATTTACAATCAGCTGATATCTTGTTAAATGACTATTAAGGACATCAATTGATTTTTTAGTTAATGTAATTAACTAAACCGTTTTTATGATTCAAAAATGTAAAATTTACTTTACATCAATTATTTATTATAATTATTATTAACATTATTATTATTATTATTATTATTTTAACATAAAAAATTGTGTAGTGTATTTTATAACAAAACTCTCTGTACATTTTCCTTAGAGGACTTTCCGTGCCACAGGACAAATCTAAATGAAGAAAAGGTAAAAAAGAAAAATTTATTTCATGCATGCTTGCTTGTTTTTCTCTTCGGTGACACGTTAAAGCTTTTTTTTTTTAGGCAAAAGTGACACGTTAAAGCTGGAACTTGGTTTTGCATCTTTCCTCTTTCTCATTGTTGTGTTGGCCAAAGCAGGTACGGGAAAGAAGGGGACGTGGGTAATAAAGGAAAATAGGAAAAGATGAGAAACGGCCAACCCTAAAACGCCACTTTCAATAGCTTTTGATAATTTGGCTGTTTGGAATAAAAAGCCAAATGAAAAAGTTAATTAACCAAACATTTTATTACCTGATTAATCTGGTCAAAAAGCCAAATATTAGTCAAATCAGCCAAAAAATGGCTGATTGGCTCTTAACCAAACACCCCCAATAATCATGTACCAAAAGTGGTCAAAATAAAAGATGTGGACCAATTTTGCAATTGGTGCGATACTCGTAGGATCAAAAAAGAATTTTCTTCATATGATTGACCTCTAAAGTAATACACAAAATTTTGAAGGAAATTCAACTCGCTGCATCCAATTTTTATACTCTCTCCACCCCTTAAAACTTGGTCAAGTTTAACCGGCACGAGTATTAATAAAATAAAAAATGTGTTGTTAAGATTTATGCAGATGAGAGAAATCGAATGGAATCACAATTTCTTTATTCGAAAGAGAAAGTGACAAAGTTAGTGAGATAACAAAAAAAAATTGGCAAAATTTTAAAAGACACAGAGGGTACAACTTAATCTGAGTGTTCATGAATCGTGGTCACTAAATTGCTCTAAGTTAGCTCCTAAATACGAAGTAGTCTTTATATATATATATATATATATATATATATATATATATATAAAGAGAATATGGTGAAAATCATTTGGAGCCAAAAGAAGTGAAAAATTATTGTCATAATTTATGAAGCATTATTTAATTATTCAATAATTAATACGTAGTAATAATCAATGATCATGTATAAATCTAATCAATGGTGGTAAGTTATAAATAAAATATTAGAAGAATGAGGATGAAGACAATAAATATAAATAAAATTATTAGAAAAACATTAGAAACATACACATATAAAATTAATTACGGAATATAACATAAAGTTAGAAAAATGAATTGTTCTAATTTTTAAATATAGAAATATTGTAATACAAAGAGTATATGATGGAGATTCAAATAGAAAATCATTTAGAACAAAAAAAGTGTATGAAGTGAGAGATTTTGGATCAAATAAAAAGAAGTCTACATGTGAGAAAATGAGAATGCTTTTTGTGCATTCAATTTGAGGTTAGATGGCTCTAAAAGTGACAACAATGCAAAAGATTAGACAAAAAAGGTGGTGATATATATGTAAATAAGTGATCACTTTTGCGAGTACAAACAATGCAGTAGTTGAATCTAAAGGTGCATTATAACGAACTAAAAGTGAAAATTTTGCACTTTTACGTTATACACCATTTTTATTTGAATCACGCTCTAAAGTAAATATTATCAACTCTGCTATAGGTACCTCATTTTGTACCTCAATTTGTACCACAACCTATATTTGTGCCTCACAAAAGCCCACTTCAATAAATGAATTGATCCACTTTAATGAGCTGCTTTTGTGAGCCACAAAAATAGAGTAGGGGTGCAAATTGTGGTACCTTTAGCATTTTTGAAATATTATTACATCCAGATGACTAGATGACAAGTATATTTAATTTCATATATATTCAATTATTAATTTTTTTTGAAGAGATATATTTAATTATTAATATAAATAGATTAACATTAACTAAGTACATTTTTCTAAATTTTTTAAATTTTAAGCGTATTGTGACTTTGATTTAATATATATTTATTATTATTGTCTAGAGATAAACTTTAAGTATATTCAAGTGATAATGACGTCACGCAAATAGATATGCATTGGTAATTAAGTTACGGCGGGACAGGGCGGGTCATGGCCTCATGGGTAAACAAATTTGGACTCATGCGACTATGCGAGTCATGGGGAGAGGCGGGTCCACCCGGTAAAGTCATGGGGTAGGTCCGAGTCTTGCGGTACCCGCCCCGCCTCGACTCATTGCCATGCCTAACAAAGGTTGCATGAGGTAATAAATTGTCCAAGTCTAATTTAATGAGGTGACACTTTAACTAGACTAGACTACAATGCATTGGAGATGTTCTTAGAAAGGCATTCTTTATTTGGTGTCTTTCCATTCCCCTACACATCAAAACCCTTCGGTGAGGGCAAAAACTCTGCCAGCCAAAGGTGGAGGTATTGCCGAAATAGCTTCCTCAATAACCTGAGAAAATGTATTATTCAAGTAAGGCCCCCTTAGCTCAGATGTGAAATTCTACCAAAATTGTAGCACCTAACTAAGATCAGTATCACTTGCATTGTTATTTCATACAAGCAGAATGAACTCTAGCTGGAAACAAATATCTCTATAAAATAGGCACATGGCAACACATGATCAACCTTGTAGAGGGTAGAATGGTATACAAATGAACTGTAGGAGATTGTAAGAGACAATCAGACAATGATGGTAGTTGGAGTTGGTCTCATGAAATTAACCCAAATAAAAAAGGAACACACACATAGTCACATGGTCTTAGCACAATAAAACCTAAAAATCTTATCATAACGGATCTCAAATGTAAAGAATCATTCTGTGAGTTCTAATTTTATCTTCCATCAGTACAATGGATGAGAATGCTCATAATATAATTTATTTTTTGTTTTTGTTTAGACACACATATGTGCGCACACGCACATATAAACACACACATGTATATACACTTCTTATACATTGTTCCATTCAGTATGTCAATCATAGACACAATTATCTCTGACAAAATTGAAAAGTACCCACCTTCAAACAAAGAAAAACATACAGTCCAAAAAAAGAATGAAAGAGGACCCAACTTACATCTAGTTTATAACGAGCTGAAAAATGAATCAGAAGTATCGCTTTGTTTTCAAATCTGTCTGCATACTTGATTATCTGTTATAATTTCATGAAAAATGAAAACCAGTGTCTCAGGAATTGGATGTGGGGGGGGGGGGGGGGTTATCTATCAAAAGAAACTGTTACCTCAGACAAATGCATATGGCCACGCTCCCTAGCATCCTCTACTGTAGTTGTTTTCTCTAGGTAGGTACTCTGCAAGGAAAGATCTAGATGTAAGAAGAATTTCAGAAACAGTGGAACTGGCTGAGTTTTTCAACCTAGTAGCACTAGAGTACATTTTCCTAGCTAACACAACAATCACTTGAGAGGAAAAAAGTCATCATATTATCCAATTTTAGTTGTTCTGCCACAATGTTAGAACCTGGAAGACCCTACAGTATGTACTGTGTGAAAACTTAAACTGAAGAGGAACTAGTAACTGACTAACTGCCATTAAATAATGATCTGAACCCTCAGATTTCTATTATTCTTTCTCCATGAAATATCAGGTTGAAAGGAATGCACACACAAAAATAACCCTTGCACTAAATAGGCTTTATTTATAGCTGAATTTTAAAAGTAGATGATGTAAGCATGCATTTTAAAGGGCGTCTAACAGATACTACTAAGCCAACCGTTTTTCCATTATTGGCAATTAGTTGAGTAAGGTCAAGTGCTCAAAATTTCTTCTAACACTCACACAAACACTTTCTTTTTACTCGGGGAGTTCAGGGGACCTGGGGTATAGAAGGCTGAAACTGCTTCCATGGGGTTTCAAACTCAAGACCTCCTTCATGGGAGAATGAGTTGGCTACCAGTGAGTTGGACCGCTTTCTCATACTCACTCACACAAACACAAACATGTTTATAAGCTAGAAATGTCAATTGCTTTGCAAAAAAATAAAAAACAAAGGTGTATGTCTGTGTGCCTGTGTCAGCCAGGGAATAAGAATGAAGGCTGCCACACCCGCTTCTTTGAGCTGACTTTGAAATAGAGCCGTCAAGATGGTCCGGAACCCGGGGGTGGCCCGTTTCAACCCATTTCTTGGTGGGTTAGGGTTATGATTTTCTGACCCGATTAATTTATGGGTTTCGCGGGTCAACCCAGATGGGTTGCACATTAAGTGGGTTGGCCCACACAGGTTGCGGGTTGGCCTGTGGGCCAAAATACAAATGTTTATAGTTTCGACTTTTGTAATATTCAATATTGTTCTTTTAATACCAAAATTATTAAAATTACACTTATATACTTATCATTTTACAACCATTGCAAAATAGTTATTATTTGGGATATTGCCCTAAATAGGAGTAAAAACGTTCTGAAATTCCAAAATATGACTATTGTGTTTTATTCCCGAAATAAGAGTAATTATGGCCATGGTTTGGCAGTATCAGACTTTAAACATGGCAATATTTTACAAACATGGCAGTAATTACTCCTATTTAGGGAACAAAAACATGGCAGTCCTATTTTGGAATTCCAAAACGTTTTTACTCCTATTTTGGGGATTTTCCCATATTATTTTTATAATAACTATCCAAATAAGTTGCTCAAACATATATTCTATGTAAAGTTGAATATAATTTTTTGCAATTAATAGTCATGATTTACAAATAATCACTCAAAAGGTTCAAGTAGATCTTTACTTTTATACAACGAGTAATTTTGTTAGATAACCTCTTATAGTTTTTAAATTCTAGTATAACTAGTATTTAATGTTGTTTAATTAACCCACGGCTTAGATGGGTTGGGTTAGGGTTGTAAAGATTTTGGCCTTTCATTAAACGGGTTTGCTCGATCCAACCCACATAAAGCATGACCCATCATGGATTGGGTTGCATTGGGTTGGCCCATTTGACAGCTCTACTATGAAATTTGAAATAAAAAGAAACTCCTATACAGTTGGATTGATGCACTGAAACTTACAGGTGATGTTGTATACCTCCATAATGAGTATCCTCGTCCTCAAAACATCAATGTTATCATTGTCTAAAATGAAATCTGACATCGTGTCTCCTGTAAAAGCGATTTCAGGTGTATTTATAGTGTTTGTGATCTGTGAGGACAGAAAAAGATAAGTTATTCAGCTCCAATTCACATCTTATGTATAATTTGATTGAGAATTCAATGTGTGGCCATGTACTGTGCATGAACTATGGCATTAAATTTCAAAACATGATATCATTGCAACAGACCTCCACATTTGATGCCTTCAATCTCTTTATCTCTTCTCCTGAAAGGCCAATGTATTCTTGTTTAAGCTTATGCTTTATAGAATAAACTATGTAACCCTGCAGTGACCAATGGACACAATATCTGTTAAAAATACAAAAAACAGAGTAAATGAAGCTCACGTGTACCATCATTACATGAAGAGGTTCACACTCCAATGATCATATACACTGTGTGTGTGATAGAAGTATACCGGGGGGGGGGGGGGGGGGGGGGGGGAGAGAAACCTGGCTGGGTATGACATGGTAAGTTCTGAACGCCCTTACTTTTAGATCCTTCCTTAAAACAAACTCTTCTCCTGAAAATACAAAGCAAATCACTAATCTAAGTTCAGGTTATACTAAAAAGAAGGTAAATAGGAGCATACTTTAAACAAAGTTAAAAATAATAGGCAACATGCACTCCTACAGTATCACATTCCAACCAATAATAGTTCTTATAATGTAAAGCACAAGACTCAATGTGCCAAGTAACAGCAAGGAAATTATTCTAATTTCAAAAAATTGAAATAATATATTACCCACATCCAAAGCAATCAAAGTGTGCTTGAGTTCAGATTGGTCCATAGCTCTATGTGCTTCAAAAATCTTCTCAACGCTTTCTTTAACCTCATATGGCACAACTATTGTAGGTGGAACCATTCCATAGAGGCCACGTGTAGCCACATGCATGGGCAGTCCTCCTATGTGGTCCATATGTCCATGGGAAATGAAGATAAATTGTTGAGACACAGCACGTTGTGGGCACTTGCCAATATCAAATGCCAAATTTAGAGTGGGGATAATGACACAAGTCTCATGCCCCGCAATTGAAATTCCTTCGATTTGATAGCCTTCTATGTTCAACCCCTTTTTCGAGGCTTTTCCCTTGTCCTTCTTGTTCTTAGATTTTGCTAGACTTGGATCTGATGTAGAAGTGCTTGTTTTTTGCTTCATCTCCATCGATTAATTTTGAAGGAAAAAGAGTCCAAGAGGAGATCCCTGTGCTTTAGAACATAGACATAGGGGCGGATCTATCCTTTTTCAAGCCTGCAGCAAGCTTACCATCAATATGGAATGCATAGTACTGTGTGCAAGTTAATAAATAGAATAGGGTTCTTGATAAGTATAGCAAGTTTTCTACAACAGTAGAACTCATTAACCAAAGATTTGGGGTGTCAAATGGATGGATATTTTTTTATTTAAGTTATAATGGATGGATTAAAAACGATCAATTTAATAAAACACATTTGATTCATCTGTTAACAATCTTTAATAGATGGAGACTAAACCAGATACGCAATCTTTCTATTCTCTTACAATTTCTTTCCACATGCAGGGATGATTGGCATTGCATATAGGGAAACTTTGGTAGAGTCATAGAGATATACTACGTAGTTACCAACAAAGAAATGTATCATTAACACATGCAAAAAATTCAATGTGTTTGATGGATTTAAAAGAGCTTTTTAATGTGATCCAATCATGTAAAACTATTAATAAGTGCGTCCCTAACAATCTGTCTAACGAAAATGGATGAATTTGATCCATTGCATTATCATGGGACTGGATGGATTTATCTTTTAATCGATGGAACAGATGGTGAATAAATGAATAATTTTTCCACCCCTACATGAATTAGAAATATACTTTATTAAGTGAAGTAATGTACAACATAAATTGTGTGCAAGCATACGAACTGCTCTAACGTCTGAAACTTAAAAACTCAGCACATAATCTGCCAATTTGCAAGTGTAAAGACCGGTGCATGCTTTCATGATGGTCTAAACTCAGGAGCAACACGGGACTTGACTAGTCCAATGGGAGTTGACTATATAGACTCGTAAAATCAGAGTAGGTACTACTTAGGGTGTTTGGATCTGTTTCTTAAAACTGCTTCTTCAAGGAGCAAAAAAACAGAAGTTGGAGTGCTCTAAATTACTCCTAAGAAACAGTTTTTTAGAAACTGGTTCTGATTAGGTTTAAAAAAGAAACACAGTTCCAAACACCCCATTACTAGTTAGTCTTTCATGAGTTCATACGAAACTTTTTTTCAAATTAGCGAACGGCGTTCTTAGTGCCGGCTGGGGGTAGGACACCACCCATCTTCCCATAAGAGATGGGGCAACATTTTAAAAAATTACGATTAACTTGTTAAACTTTTGCATATTCATCCTCAGCAAATTCAAGATACGGTATGCAAGTTAATGAAATATGAAAAAATCTTACCTGATCGTTTCAGCTTAAGAAATGTAGCTCCAACAAAGCAGGAATAGAGCTGCTGAGAGAAAAGACCAGTTTGGCTTATTAGGGATGGAACTATGGAAGGATTTAGCGACAAACTTGTTAGACGAGCTAATGAGCGATTCGGAGTATGTTTTAGCAGTTTGGCTGATTAGAGATGGAGCTCAATATTAGATTTTTACCAAACACACCAATTTGTTTTCTTTGTTTTGTATGCTAAATTGTACACGAGTATATTAGTCAAAATAAGTATGTTTGGGGCTATGTTTTCATATGTATATAATTCTAATTGATATCTTCTTTTGGTAATCTTAATTTGGTATCCCACCAAATGGATACAAAATGGAAGATGTGAGTCACCAAAAGGACACATATTATCAAATGCAAACAAATGGGAATCCCAAAAGAAGATTTCACAAGATATTTAAAAAAGAATCATGCAAACAACATTTGGCAATTTCTTGTGGAGAAAATTGGGCGGATGTGCATAATTAAATATGTGTGCTTAAGTTAATATCGTGGATTAGCAAAAATTAGGTAGATAGCATTTATCCATTAGGCAGTTTCTTTATCTATTAAAGATCTCTCTTAGTCCGAAATTATTTCCTTCCAGTATCATAAATGGATCATGCCTCTATGAAGCAAGCAGTGATTCCCTTGTAGTTCACATCCAACTTCTCTTTGAATGATTGGAGTCAACGAATGTCCAATTATTATTGATCCAACTACTATGATGTGATCCTTTCAAAAAAACTATTATGTGATATTTTAAAAGGCTTGTATTTGCAACCACAATTAGGAAGTTTATATATCGTACTATGGTAGTTAATATTTGACGGATTTTTATACTAACCAAAACAAGTGTTATGTACTTCATTAATAATGTAGTGATTACTTCAAGTGGCGTATTTTTTTAGGTTATATAGCATTTTCCCCCTTTCTTGTGGAGATTACTACTACGTATTTATTACTTTACAAGTGTACAATAATAATGCAGTGATTACTATTCATGTACTATTTACCATTGAATTTGTATCTTTGTAATTATTACACCACTATGGAAACTCCTATATGAGGGACATCATAAGATTTCTAAAAAACATGACTGGTTTGATAAATTCGGGTTTAATTGATACAACTTTAATATTACCTCCGCCCCATAAAACTCTTCCCACTTACCATTTTGGGCCGTTCCAAAAAATTCTTCTTGTTTCCCTTTTTGGAAAGATTTGTGTGGCCACCATTCATTTACATTTTTCTTACTCAACTTCAACCACATATATCCTCTTTATTCTCACTTTCTTAAACTCTGATCAAAGTCAAACTGGAAAGAATTTTCTGGGACGGAGGGAGTATCAAACTTAATACAGACCTTCCGCCTAATAAAAATTGAAGTTCTAAATAAAATCCTACCCTCTTTAGGGTCCTAGAACCGATCCCCCATTTGACCATGGACGAGTTGGTATTAGAGATCGGTACTGGCCCGGTATCTGGATTGGTGGTTATAAGGGCCGGGCTTCGGGCTTGATTTTTTGGCCTGGCCCAGCCCAATACTGTTTGGGCCCAGAACAGAACCGATACGAGAGCATACCGAGCCAGTACCGAGCTCCACTTTTCCAGAACCGGTACCGCCCGGGCCCAACCAGGGTCCATCCAGGGATAAGACTTGAATGTTGTCGGTGTTTACTTTTTGAAGGTTAAAATTGTAAAACAACTTTGTCCTTTATTTTCATATAATTCACATCAAACCACATTGACCATACATTTTGGAATGGAGGGAGTGGTGATTTTAAATGTTTTATTATACGTGATTCAAAATGAATTTGTCACTATTTTCATTTAAAAAGAAGACCTCTATGGTGTCTTTTGTGAGAAATCCTACTCGATTCTCTTGAAACAAAAAATCATCTCAATGATGACTTCCCGGCTAGCGATGGATTAGGACGGGTCAGCCCGACTCGCCCCGTCACTGTGCAGGCCCGACCCGGCCCGCTCGGGTGATACCGAGACTGGGGGCCTGAACCGGGGTAACGGGGGGGCGGGCTACAGGAATTGAAAAAGGCTGCCCGACCCGACTTGTCTGGGATCGGCCCGGGCCCAATTTTTATTGTTTTTGTTTTTCCCATTCATTGGCTGCTAGGTGAGTGGGGCTGGGTGGTTTGGGGGGGGGATAGTGATATATTCGAAAAGCCATTTAAAAAAAAAATTTGACCGACCTGGCCCCGGCCCGATCTCGGTACACACCCAGGCCGGGTACCGGGCCTGCAACCCAAAACCCCAATCCCGCCCAATCCTGTCCCCGGGCCCGGCCCAACCCGGGCTCAGTCCACCCCTAATTTCACCGCTCCCTTACTACCTAGGTGTGAATCCGCTCCCTTACTACCTAGGTGTAGTCATGGACCAAACCAGGTCCGGGTCCAGGCCGGGCCTAGGCCCGGTTGGGCCTTTTGTGTTAAGGGGAAGGCCCGGGACCGGCCCGGGTTGCCACCGGGTCCGGTTCAGGCCGGGCCTCAGTCCTGGTTGTAATATTTTTTTTCTTTCCTAAGTACCCCCTGACCCCCCCCCCCCCCCCCACCACCCCCCCAACCCCCCAACCCCAAACGTCAAGCCCAACCCGGGAAGCCCAATAAAACTGGAAAAAAAAATTGGGCCCGAACCGGGCCCGGCCGGGCCGAGTCCCCGTCCCCATTTCAACAACCCAAGCCTGCCCCACTTTACCTTTCAAACCGGGTTAAGGACCGGTTTCGGACCCGAGGCACCGGGCTGGGCAAGTCTCGCACAGTAGCGGGCCGGGCCGGTTCCCGGGCCGGGTTGCCCGAACCGGGTACATGCCTACCCAGGTGTGAATAGGAGCTCTCGACACGGCTCACAAAGGGGAAATCTAATACAAACAGGCCCTAAGCCCGTAATGAGTAAATGCACTCTATTACGAAGTATATCCTCACAAACAAGCCCAAACAGAGCAATCACACTGATACATTTAAACAAGCAAAACGACTAAGCTGGCTGGAAGCCTGAAACCTTCTCCTCTCCATCACATTATATAATGACATAATTTTCATATTTCTCATCTGTACAAGGGGTAATGACGTAGATAACAACTGTGCTACAAAAGATAAAATGGAGTTATTAAATGAGTTGAAAATTATACGAACAAAATATAATAAAATACACAATAGCAAATTAAATTTCTCCTCGATATCCGCCAGATCCAAAGTAATCTCGCCTTTGATTCGCGATTTGCTGGCTCTTTTGATGCTCAAGCTTGGGGCAATCACTAATACGATGACCCAGACCACCACAGTAGGCACAACCTTTGACCCCACTTGCGTTCGTGATTGCATCATCATTCTCCCCTGGAGTTTCAAGTTCAGCGAGAACCGGAGGAATCCTTTGCTTGGCTTCTTGCAGGAGATGTTTCAGATCAAGAAGGGTTGTTGGGCTCTGAGTTTTGTTTATGAACGTTGTGGCAATTCCTGTTTTGCCACACCTACCTGTACGCCCGATCCTATGGACATAGTTCTCAATTTCAGCAGGCATATCGTAGTTTATCACGTGCTGAATATCAGGAAAATCCAACCCTTTGGAGGCAACGTCAGTTGCCACCAACACATCCTTCTTCCCTGCTTTGAATGATGAAATGGCATACTCCCTCTCTTCTTGGTCCTTTCCTCCGTGAATAGAAACAGCTTCCACTCCTTTCAAAAGCAGGTACTCGTGAATGTCATCCACATCAGCTTTGTTCTCACAAAATATTAAAACAGGAGGAGGCGTTTTCTGCAAACAGTGAAGAAGGTACACCAGCTTAGCCTCCTGCTTCACATACTCTACTTCTTGGATAACATCTAAGTTAGCTGCTCCAGCTCTTCCCACATTCACAGTTATGGGTTTAACCAAAGCACTTCTCGCAAAGTTTTGGATCTTTGTGGGCATTGTGGCAGAAAAAAGTAGAGTTTGCCTTTGGGCTTTAAAATGATCAAACACTTCCCTGATGTCGTCTTCAAAACCGAGGTCAACTAGTCTGTCCGCTTCATCTAGTGTTAAATATCTACACATAAGGCAAGCATGGCGGTAAGAATGTGAATGTCTAAACTGACATGAAGTCAAAGATATAATAAACATTTGTATAACAAGATTTGTGCATGCACTTTTGGGTTTCCCACTTAGGCTTAGTTAATACTCTGAAAATGGAAGAATAAAAGGCAGATTGAAGCCAATCTAGTTTTAAACTCATGAAGAATCATCATCATTATCATTTACCCCAGTGTCGCAAAGGCTCCCACCTACGGTGGGGTAAGGGGGGTCGGATGTACGCAGTCTTACCCCTGTACTAAAGCATAGAGAGACTGTTTCCGGATGACCCATAGTGAAAATTGCACCAAAATTGCATGGACTGACTGCTGCTTCATAACAAAGAAGCGCAGACAGTTTAGTGAGCCATTTTGCTTTATTCCATCATATTCTTAAGCCAAAAAATAATGAATCTTTGGCTCCATTGCAAATGATGAAAAAAAAACTCATGAAGAATGAATTGAAAAATATATCGATGTCACAAGACATTCAAACGAAGGTTCATGCTTCTAAACTGACAGGAAGTTATAGACAGAAATGATAGAAATTACAGACAGCAATCCAATTGACTTGAACTATTACTCTGGAAGCATTGTCTTAAAAATACCAAGAATATAATATGTTTTGCCAAAGATAAACTTCTAATTATAGAGTTAATGTATTAAATCATGTAGCATAGCTTCCAAAACATTCATGCCACACTAATCCTACAACAAAAGCAACAAGGAATAGTTACCTGCAATTGTCAAGGCTCATTTTCTTTTTAGCGAGCATATCTTTAAGTCTTCCGGGTGTTGCAACCACAATATGAACTCCTTTTTTCACCACATCTAGCTGGGACTTCATGTCAATTCCTCCAATGCATAATAGATGTCTTATCTCAGGGTACCCAGACCCTCTTAAGGGCTCTAGGAACTCTTCTATTACTTCATATGTCTGTCGTGCAAGCTCCCTAGATGGGCAAATGATTAATCCAAATGGCCCTTCTCCAGGCACAATAGGCATCATTATCTCCTCCTGTATGGCCACCATGATAAGTGGTAAAACAAAAACCAGCGTCTTCCCTGATCCTGTAAATGCTATTCCAATCATATCTCTTCCGGACAAGATGACAGGCAATCCTTGTACCTGGATTGGAGTCGGTTGAACAATTCCCTTAGC